GCTTAGGCTGGTGAGTACGGCTGGCATCGGGGGCCTCTGGGACTTTGGGAAGTCAGGTATGGGGACTCTGTAGGTGGTATCTAGGGACCTCGGACAGGCTGTCCCCATTTTCACCCTTTGTACAGGATTCTAATATATTTAATGTCAAGTGTGCCTTGCTTAAGATCATCAGAAAACCCATAATCTGCTGATCATTATTGTCCTGGTCAAATAAGTGTAGCTGGTAATGTGAAAAGATTCGACTGGTGAGAGTTACTCAGACATGTCTCATGTCTGGGGAGCAGCCACCAGCCAGTTCCCCAGAGACAAAAGACTGGTAGTATCAATGTATTCAAATGGACCATCCCTTGGTGAAGCGTCCATTCTCGGGTAGGACAGAGGACAGGGGAGAAATATGTACATCTTGACAATCACATGGCATGGAGTGCAATTCCTCATGGACTTCCTGTCTCCTGATCCTCAGCTGGAGACAAAGAAGAGAAAGAGCTGTAAGAAGGGGGAGAGACAGATGCTCCAAATCTAATCCTCACGTGATCCCTCCCCTGTCACCCACCTCCAGACAAACAGAGGCTAACGGCACCGTTCCTACCCATCCTGGCTAAGAGCCATTGATGGACCGAACCTTCATTAATCATCTAACTCTTGTTAAAACCCTGTTATAGTTCTAGTCTTCACAACCTCCTCAGGCAAGGAGTTCCACAGGTTGACTCTGTGTGCTGTGTGAAGAAGAACATCCTTTCCCTCTTTGTCCACACAGGGCATTCGAAAAACCAGAAGGGAGGGTGCAACCCATCCCCTCATCCGGACCATTAATAAAGATATTGAACAAAACCAGTCCTAGAACCGATCCTTGGGGCACTCCGCTAGAAACCGACCGCCTTCCTGACATCGAGCTGTTGATCACCGCCTGCTGGGCCTGACCTTCCAGCCAGCTTTCTATCCATCTGACCGTCCATTTATCCAATCCACATCTTAACTTGCTGGCAAGAATATTGTGGGAAGATCCACAATTGTCCGCGGAAAGCCGTTCCTGAAGTCTTCAAGGACCACGCTTCAGCAACGCACATGCACAAAGACATTGCTGGGTCCACTTAGGTCAATGTAGGATTCCTGCCGACGAAGCAATTCCAGTCTAGATCCACTGACAGCTACAGATACCAAGTGGACCAGTTCTAGAGGGGTGTCCATACACAGCCATCCATCCTGGACCCCTCCAGAACCACACCTTTCATTTCTAGATCCATCTCTCCTCCCTACCGGTGCTGGACTAGCTGAACCCTGCAGGTCTCTGCAGTAGGGGGTGATCAGATGGGCTCCAAGGTCACTGGGGAGATGGGTGGGAGAGTCCAGGACTGGCCCATGGCAGAGGTGGGAAGGAGGAAGGGATGGACCATTGATGCTTCCTGTCCCATCCATGTGAATCCCTGCAGGGGCAAGTCACCTCCAGTGACAGCGAGGGGGCTGGGGATCTCAGGGCAGCCTGAAGGGGGGCAACCCAGCCCCCACATGCCCCTGTGGGACCCCACATAATGAGGGTGGCCAGGGGGCTACGGCACAGGGCGGGGACCCAAGAAATCCGGGACCTTTCCCCAGCTCAGCCCAAGTTCCCTGTGGATCTCGTGGGAGGAGTCGCTGGGCTGGGGACCTGATGGGGAGCTGAGCAGGCCAGCTCCTGAAGCAGGTTTAGGAAGAATTGCTCCGAGCCTCGGTTTCCCCATCTGCACATTGTGAAGGATGATTCTCCTTTTGTCTCTACTGGACACTCTTTGGGGGTCAGCCTGTGGGTGAGGGCAGCACCCAGTACCCTGGGGGGGATCTCAGCCATGGGGCTGCCCCATTGCAAATGAGAGCAATGTGCTAAGGTGGAAATGGGACCATGTGTGTGGGGAACATCTGACTCGGGGCTGCGGCGGAGGCAGAAATCACTGGGGGGCTCTGGCTTTGGGGTATTCAGGGGGTGAGGCTAGAAGGCCCTCAGGGTGCCTCCTGGCCCGGAAGCGGGTGGCTCTGGCTGCCAGCCTGCAGAGAACTGGGGGGTGCATTTGGCGTGCAAAATGCAACACCCCACCTCCACGTGGTGCAGGTGTCACCCGCGGCTTCCTCACAGGCAGGTGTCAATGTGCCTTGGTGGTTTGCAGGCCTGACCCCCAGCACGGCCTCCCCCACACAGTGACAACTGGCGTGTACCGAGGCACAACTTGAAGAGGCTGCAGACAAAATGAGTCTGGTAACACATCGGATAGTCACACTGTTCCGAGCCAACCCAGCCCATGGCAGAAAGCCAAATGCACCCCCACCCAGCCTGGCACAGGGACCTGGAAATGAGATGAGCATGGGGGCGACTTCCTGGCACCTCAGGGTCTGGCTGGGAAATGGGGTTGGTGCGGACGGCCCTAGTGTGAGGGAAACGCACACCCAGCTGAGCAGCCTGGTCTCAAGTGATGAGTTTGGTTCCGAGCCAACCCAGCCCATGGCAGAAAGCCAAATGCACCCCCACCCAGCCTGGCACAGGGACCTGGAAATGAGATGAGCATGGGGGCGACTTCCTGGCACCTCAGGGTCTGGCTGGGAAATGGGGTTGGTGCGGACGGCCCTAGTGTGAGGGAAACGCACACCCAGCTGAGCAGCCTGGTCTCAAGTGATGAGTTTGTCAGTTCTTAGCTAACACCAGCGGCCGGGGCCTGCCAGGGACCCACTTATTCTTCCATCCCCGGCTGGCCAGGGAGCGCGGAGAGATTCCCTCTCCGGGAACAGGCCGGCCCTGAGCTGCGAGATTCCCTGGATGGTCCCACCAAGCACATACACTGTAGGTCCCAGGATAGAGTCTGAGCCCCAGATGTGCCCAGCTGTGATCCAGCACCTGGAGCAGCTCTGGACCCTGCTAGAAACATCCCCACTAGAGTTTTCTCTATCCAGTGGTGCATCTTCCAGCCGGCTGTGCAGAGACCCAGACAGCCAGTATCCCGCTTAGCCAGCCAGCTGTGCAACATCCCTGGATGTTGCAAGGCCTGTCCTTCCCCCCAGCCCACATGATCGGCTGTGGTTGGAAACACACCTTCATGTAGATGAGTGTGTGAGTGACCTTGAGGTTTCCTGCCCCTGTGTTCTCCACAAGATGAGTCTATAAAGGCCCCAGGCCTGCAGCACATGCGCTGTCCCTGTCCTACCTCTGGATATGCAGGTTCAGTTCGTGCTCCTGCTCTCCACTGCCTTTCTCCTTTCCCCGGGGGCTCAGGCTGGTGAGTATGTTAGGGATCGGGACCTCTGGGACTTTGGGGGGAATGGGGAGTTCTCCGGGATTGGGATCAGTGGGTGATGTCTAGTGTTTTGTAGCAGGCTGTACCCCATGTTCACCCCTTGTAGAGGACTGAGACACATTTTAAGCACAGCCTGCTTTGTGAGGGATCAGCTGAAAACTCATAATGCGCTGATCATTATTGTCCTGGTAAAATACATGAGGCATCAAACGTTCTAAGATTCCGCTGCCGGGCGTTACTCAGACAGGCACCATGGCTGGGGAGCTGCTGCACACCGGTGCCCCAGAGGCAGAAGGTTGATCGATATCTCAGCCAGGTGTCCATGAAATTGAATTTGCTGTCACTTGGCTAAAGTGGCCATATTGGGGCAGGAACCAAAGTGGGGGTATAAAATGAGCATCTTTACAATGGAACAGGCTGGGAGTCCCACCCACGCAGATTTTCTGTCCCCTGAGTCCGGCGGGAGATGGCTCGGACGATTCAGCTCTTGATCTTGGTCCTGCTCCCCGGGCATGCAGCTGGAACAAACCCTGAAGGGCAGGCAAGGCTGGTTTTCCTAGTGCACATGTCTGCAGCGCCAGTAATCCTGGGGCACTTCAACATTCATATTTTGCCTCTCCTAGTGCTGGCAGAGTCATCTCCCAGTGGGGCCACTGGGTCCAGCTGGGGGGCAGGTCTTGGGAGAGGGGGGGTCTCTGGAAGAGTTGTCAGGAAGTTCTGAGCAGTGAGGAGATGGGGGTGCTGGGCACTAGGGGGTGCATGTGGGGCACTGAGAAGTTGTGGGGGCACTTTGCAGGAGTAGGATCTGTGGGTTTATGGAGCAATGGGGCATGTTAAAGTTCAAAGTGATGGGGTACCCCTGCTCTCTGAGCAGCCCAAGGGGGTTGGTGGCTCACCTCTTATAGGCTTCTTTGGGTCCCCACTGCCAAACCCTGCCCCAGACAGGGAGGGGGGCTGAGGGGCTAACGCAGAGGGCTGGGACACAAGAAAGCTGGGACCCATTCTAGCTCCTCCCAGGAGCTCTGTGGACACGTCATAGGCACCGAAATCCCTTAGGCAGGTTTACAAACCATCTCCCTGGGGTTCCGTTTCCCCATCTGTAGAGTGAGAGGAATCCCCCCAGTGTCCAGGGTGTGTGGGGCAGTGCAGGACCAGCCCCATGGAGCTCTGAACTTGATCTAGGGGCCCATGAGTTACATTGGGGATGTTTCCAACACCCCCACCTGCCTGGGTGGAGATTTTTTCCCAGCTGATCACAAAAGTGGGGTTTTTTTTTATTATTATTTTTCCATGGGCAACACCCCAGAGCAGTTCTTGCCAGAGAGCCAAGTCCGAACCTTTTCACCTGAACATTCCCCACGACTGGGTGGAGAGGCTCCGTTTCTCCCACAGTCAGTCAGGCCCCAGATGGGAAAAAGACCGTTAGTTACCATCCAGATTTTCTCTGGATTGAATGTTTGGCAGGCCTGGCTTGGAGCAGAACAATTACTGACCTACTTATGGTGCATCGGGCACCGATTCCCTACCCAGCCAGATCAGATCTGTAGATATCCCCTCTAGCCCCACTGGGTGGCCAGTGTGGGGCAGAACAGAGCAGGAGGCAGGGATTCAGGTCCAGGGATCCCCCGGTCAGAGCATCACAAGGGGTGGGATGAGGTGGTGGGGACTCCGCTTCAGGATGGGGATCTCGGATCTAGCCCAGGGAGTGAGGGGGCTCTTTGTGTGACCCTGGTCTCCCCCCAGGTGAGATCGTCGGGGGATGGGAAGCCCGGCCCCACTCCAGGCCCTACATGGCCTATCTGTATATAAAAGATGGAGAGGAGCCTTTGCACTGCGGCGGGTTCCTGGTGGCGTAAGTGCCTCAGGGCTGGGATGTGGCTACAGCAGGGGAGGGGGGCGAGGAGCTCTGGGGCAGAGGAGGGGCAGGGGGTGGCCAGCCTGAGGGAGCAGAGCCCAGGGGTCTGACCTGCTTGGGGGTGTTGGCGAGTCTCTAGGGGTAGACACCAATGTGCAGGGTTTGTGCTCCAGCTGGCACCACGAACAGGGGATGGACCCATGGTGCCATGTCACACCTGGGGCCTGGTGCGAGGCAGCCACGTGCCCAGTGCAGGACAAGTCTCATGCCAAGTGGGTAGCAGAGAATCTGTGTCACCCACACACCCAAACCACACAATACGTACCCTCCTGCCCATCCCCCACAGAATGTGCCCTCCTCCTCCTAATGGCTCATGTATTGCCCTTGGCGTTTGCAGTAACATCTTTGTGGTTCTGGGAGCCCATAACATCAGCCAGGGGGAACTGAACAGACAAGATATCTCTGTGGATCGCAAGATCCCACATGAAGGATACAACAAGGATACCCTAAAAAATGACATCATGCTGCTGCAGGTATCGCCCCCTCCCATCCCCCACCCCCAGTGACCTCACACTGCTGCAGGTACCGCCCCCATCCCATCCCCCACCCCCAGTGACCTCACACTGCTGCAGGTACCACCCCATCCCATCTCCCACCCCCAGTGACCTCACACTGCTGCAGGTACCACCCCATCCCATCTCCCACCCCCAGTGACCTCACACTGCTGCAGGTACCACCCCATCCCATCTCCCACCCCCAGTGACCTCACACTGCTGCAGGTACCACCCCATCCCATCTCCCACCCCCAGTGACCTCACACTGCTGCAGGTACCACCCCATCCCATCTCCCACCCCCAGTGACCTCACACTGCTGCAGGTACCACCCCATCCCATCTCCCACCCCCAGTGACCTCACACTGCTGCAGGTACCACCCCATCCCATCTCCCACCCCCAGTGACCTCACACTGCTGCAGGTACCACCCCATCCCATCTCCCACCCCCAGTGACCTCACACTGCTGCAGGTACCACCCCATCCCATCTCCCACCCCCAGTGACCTCACACTGCTGCAGGTACCACCCCATCCCATCTCCCACCCCCAGTGACCTCACACTGCTGCAGGTACCACCCCATCCCATCTCCCACCCCCAGTGACCTCACACTGCTGCAGGTACCACCCCATCCCATCTCCCACCCCGAGTGACCTCACACTGCTGCAGGTACCACCCCATCCCATCCCCCACCCCCAGTGACCTCACACTGCTGCAGGTACCGCCCCCATCCCAAGGTTAGAGGTTTTGGTGTCTGTGCATTATTGACTCTGACCATCTTGTTGATTTTTATCTTTCATGTCTCTCAGCTGAAGGAGGAGGCGACTCTGAACGAATTGGTGGGCACCATCACTCTGCCCCACGCTAATGAGAGAGTAATCTTGTTGATTTTTATCTTTCATGTCTCTCAGCTGAAGGAGGAGGCGACTCTGAACGAATTGGTGGGCACCATCACTCTGCCCCACGCTAATGAGAGAGTAGAGCCAGGGACCCTGTGTAGCGTCGCTGGAGGGGGCACTGTTTGGCCAGATGGTGCATCATATCGAGGCACTCTCCAGGAAGTGGACGTGGTGGTGATGCCGGACGCCGCGTGTCCGAGGAACCCGGACTGGCTTTATCGTCTCTATGACCCCGCCACCATGATGTGTGTGGGGTGGGGAAGGTGCCTCCCCTCCTGACTTCAACTCCCAGTTGATTAATCTGTTACGATTGACAAGGGTGTTGGAGTTCCCTTCAGGGCTGGGAGCAGCGACCCAACCGAAGTGGCCAGTAGCCATCAGGCCCTGCTGCGCCAGGTGCTGTTAACTGGCAAATCTCAGGGGGAGGCAGAAACCAGCAGGACAGGACATTGGGAGGGGGCCTGAGTTCTGCTGAGGCATGGAAGGGCCCAAGCAGAGACCGGGGGAGTTGTCGGAGGTGTGTCTGCCTCGGGCAAAGCAGGAAATGAGCCGTTTTCCATCTGTGGCTTGTTCCATTTTGCAGGGCGACTCCGGGGGCCCCCTGGTGTGCGGAGGGACAGCCCAGGGCATCGTCTCCTGGGGGCCGGACAAAGCTCCCGGGGTCTACACGAAAATTTCCACCTTCATCCCCTGGATCAAAAAGACGATGAGGACCCTGCAGCCTGGAGCCTGACTGTGAATCCCTGCCCGGGCCAGCACTGCGTTGCTTCTTGTACTTTGGAGGGGTCCACATGTAGGGTGGCCTCTCAGATTGACCCCTCTCCTCTCCACTCAGCCATCACTCCAGTTATGAAGCCCCTAACTCACGAGTATCAAGGCAGGAGCCTAGGGGGATTAGGAGCTAGGCTTAAGCCCCCTTCCCATTTTTGCATCACTCAGGCAACTCCCAAACCCATGAGCATCTATGCAAGAACCTAGGGGAGTTAGGAACTGGGTGCAAGCCCATCTCCTTTTAGCTAGTCCCAACCCTTTGGCTGCCTCTTCTCAAGATCACTTCCCCTTGGGCACTGGACATGAGCCCAGCCCTGGGATAGACCCAGTGGTTTGTGACTCTAGCCTGTGTCAGCTGGAAAATCTACATCATCCCCGGCCCTGCTGGGCCAAGTTAAATCTGCCACCTGCCCTGGGCTCACTGGGCTGTTCCCACAGTTAGTTCTCGGGGGGAGCACCTGTTCCGCAAACCCTGTGCCCCGCGACGGCCGGGCAGCCGGAAGGGACCCGAGCAAAGGCCACACTGAGTGACTGCAGATCGACCCCCGGGGCTGACCCCTCCTACCCAGCTCCCCTGCCCTTCTGCATTTTCCTCCCTGCTTCGTAGCCAGCATGGAATAAAAATGAAGTTAAAAAAAATGATTCTGGGAGTGAGTGATCAACCCGAGCTGCAAAATCCAGAGTAGCCGTTGCCTTGGCCAGGGCTCGGCAGGGAGTTGGGAGCAGTGGTTCTCAACCAGTCAGACGAGTCCCCTTATGGTTACTCTAGAGAAGTCTGTGGGGTACGTCAACACATCTGAACTTTGAAGAAAACAGAATTGTTGATGTAAGTTTTCCAGCACTTTATTATTTTTGTACTTTTTAACCTCCAAAATCTCATCATCTGCCCAGCTGCGATTAAGTTGTTTAAACAAACGTGCAGAAAAAGGTTGCGTGTGTCTGAAAACTCTAGGTACTAGGTTCTTATCTTTGTTTTAAAGAGGGGTACTTTATAAAAAAAAAAGATTGAGAAACATTGGTTGGGGGTGTTACTCCTCCGGAGGAAGGCTGGCTTGTGGTTTGCCAAGGCTGTTCCCCACTCTGGCACTCCAAGTGCTGAAGGTGGAAGCCCACAAGGGACCTTAAAAATCCTTTGTCTCTATAGCTTCTGCTTAAAAGCACCCCAAAGTCACAGATACCCCTTGGCCAGTAACTGCTACCAGCAAGTGAACCAGAAACCCTTTTCTTCTTGAACAAAGGAAGGAAGCACCTCCAGCTTCTACCAGAGGGGCACCCCCAAGCTCCTTTTCCTCAAAAGAGCTGGGAATACAAAGAGAAAACACATGGCAATCACTGAGAACTGACCTCTCTGCGTTAGGTGGGCTGACACAGACCTCTTGGTACCTTCCAGGGCACAAGAATCCAACCGTCGCCTGAAAACAGGCGATTGTATTAACAAAACAAAAAGATACACTTGGTAAAGCATACCTGGTTGTCGGTGTTAAAGAGCAACTGAGAAAGAACAGATTAAATTACAGAAGAAAATAGTATTTCTGTGTGCAGCTTAGGTACAACGAATGGGAGGGGAAGGGAGCACATGGATTTCACACAGAAAAGTTTAACCAAACAACAACACAAAGAAAATAACTGGATAGCATCTAACTAGACAGTCCCTAGCTACTCACAGGTCTGTGCTTCAAGGTCCAGTGCATTTCCATGCCCAGCATGCCTTGTAGGCCTAGTAGTCCTGCCTGGTTCAATTCATCTTGTTCCCCATGCTCATGGCTTGAAACTTGCACAAAGAAAAGAGCAGACAGGTATATCTTCCAATTTAAATGTCAACACCTTCTGCAGTTGGCTGTCCTGAGTCCCTGCCAACACCCGCTACTTACCTGAGTTTAACCTTTTAGTTGCCAAATGCTGGCCAGCCCTCCTCCAATCCATCACAAGACATTATCTGAAATTGCTTCCAAACCATGTCTTTGGATAGGAAACCATGGAAATCCCCCTGAATTGGTGTGTCATTGTCTAGATTGAGCAGTTTATAAATTCCCTTTGCAACCAAAATACGGAATTTTGTGTCCTCACTAATCACATGAGTCACCCCCCCAAAGGTATAGACGTGTTTTGCACCATCATCTGTCTCCTTGTAATCAGGGAGACCTGACCCATCCATGGAACAGTTTGGGGCACCCACCCTAAAGCCTGTGCTTTGGGTGCCCCTAGGAGCCCAGAGCAATTCTCATGGCTGTAGGGTGTGGACTTGGCCCCACATTAGCCGGCCCTAGTCCACTCCACACCTCCAGCCTCCAACCATGTCCCTCAGGGAAGGGGGCTTGGAGCAAGGGCTGGATGTGGGGCGGAGGAGAATTGTCCCAGGTTTTGCACCCTTCTGGGGACAGCTTTGTACGCAGGACACGGCTGTTCCCATGGTGGATTTGGGGAGAGGTGGGAATCAAGGGTGCAGGTTCTAGTTTTACCTCCCTGTCGGCAGCTCTGCCCATGGGACTTGAGTTCTGGCCTTTGCAGGCTCACAGCTGTTTGGGTCCAGTTCTAGTTTCCTGGCTGGTTGTCTGGAAATGCCTTTTTTTAAAGAAATATTCAGCAGATCTGGGCTGGTTCCTAGGGCACCCGGTTACCCCTGGGGGGAGGCAGGAGGGGAACTTCTTCAATGCTGACATTGCACAGCAGGGTCCAGACCCAACTACATAACCTGCCATTTATTCTGCTCCACCCTCCCAAAGGCCAAGGGGGAGAAACTCCTGGAGTTTGTGGGAGGGGCTGGGTGGGGGCTGGAGAACAAATTC